AAGGCAACAACGTATTTGGACAAAGACATGGCTGAGCAAACGTGGTGTTAAAATGAGGAAGTTATTTCCCCTAAAAAAGCCGTTGCGCCTCGGGGCTTCCTCACGGTTCTTTTCCTGGGAGCAAGTTATTTACTACTCTTAACTCAAACTGGGTAAAACCATATAAAAAGGACTATAAAATAGTAGTAAAAAATAACTGAGTTTATTCCAGATCAGGTCGTTACAGGACAGAGAAAATGCTTGGAGCTTGCACAGCTGTGGGCTCAAACATCACGTCCGCGAGCGTCTGGCAAAGATTGAGCCCCGAAGAAGGTCATCACCTGCTTCTTATAGCTCATGAGTCTATGTGTTGCATCATGTTGATGTTTAGCTGTCCGTATCAGAAACTGACATGCCATCCATGTCTTGAACTTCATGCAGCTTGCTTCTATGCTTCAGGGTTACAGATAGCTCTCCTCTATCAGACTGGCTCCAAGATGTGCCCATATCCTGTTTATTTTTAAAGACACAAGGGCTGTCCTGATTAGATGACCTCCGTACACACCGTGACATCAACAATGTGAAGGAAGGCCTTCTACTCTGTCTAATGTGGCTAACAGCATAACAATGCACATGATGTATAAATAATAAACCTAACAGTGGCTACTACGGTCTGTCAATTTTTTTTAAGGAACTCCATTTCACTCGCACACCAGCGCTTCTGTGGTTTCCCTGAGAGAAAGAAGAAGAAGAAGAACCCTTGTTTGCGCACTGCGCGATTTGCCCACAACAGGCGACTGAGTTTCAATCATGTTTCATTTTGTCACAACCTTATGATTCCTGATTGGGAGGTGGTCGCGTTACCCCGGGTGCACTACACGATGCACGATCAGGCTACATTGAAAGTCGGCGTGAACGAAAAATTCTTGCACGACTTTAGAATTGTCCCATCCATCCATCCATCCATCTTCCTCCGCTTATCTGGGGTTGGGTCGCGGGGTCAGCAGCTTAAAAAGGGAGGCCCAGACTTCCCTCTCCCCAGCCACTTCTTCCAGCTCTTCAGGAGGAACCCCAAGGCGTTCCCAGGCCAGCCGAGAAACATAGTCTCTCCAGCGTGTCCTGGGTCTCCCCCCGGTGGGACGTGCCCGGAACACCTCACCAGGGAGGCGTCCAGGAGGCATCCTAAACAGATGCCCAAGCCACCTCAACTGGCTCCTCTCGACGTGGAGGAGCAGCGGCTCTACTCCGAGTCCCTCCCGGATGACCGAGCTTCTCACCCGATCTCTAAGGGAGAGCCCAGCCACCCTACGGAGGAAACCCATTTCGGCCGCTTGTATCCGCGATCTCGTTCTTTCGGTCATGACCCAGAGTTCATGACCATAGATGAGGGTAGGAACGTAGATCGACCGGTAAATCGAGAGCTTCGCTTTTTGACTCAGCTCTCTCTTCACCACGACGGACCTGTACAGCGCCCGCTTCACGGCAGACGCTGCACCAATCCGCCTGTCGATCTCCCGCTCCCTTCTTCCCTCATTCGTGAACAAGATCCCAAGATACTTAAACTCCTCCACTTGGGGCAGGACACCCCCCCTGACCCGGAGAAGGCACTCTACCCTTTTCCGGCTCAAGACCATGGCCTCGGATTTGGAGGCACTGATCCCCATCCCGGCCGCTTCACACTCGGCTGCGAACCGATCCAGCGAGAGCTGCAGATCACGACCTGATGAAGCCAATAGGACCACATCATCTGCAAAAAGCAGAGACGCAATCCTAAGGCCACCAAAACGGATCCCCTCAACACCTTGGCTGCGCCTAGAAATTCTGTCCATGAAGGTAATGAACAGAATCGGTGACAAAGGGCAGCCCTGGCGGAGTCCAACTCTCACTGGAAACGAGCCCGACTTACTGCCGGCAATGCGGACCAGACTCTGACACCGGTCATACAGGGACCTGACAGCCCGTATCAAAGGGCCCGGCACCTCGTACTCCCGGAGAACCCCCCACAGGGCCCCCCGAGGGACACGGTCGAACGCCTTCTCCAAGTCCACAAAGAATTGTCCCGAAAATGGCAAAAAAAATCGTACAGTGTATGCCCGGGTTTAAATCACGCAGTGCTCAACTTTTTCAGAAATTTTTTTTTTCTTAACAGCATAAGATCTTTTATCTAAAGATAAGATATTAAAATAAAACAAATCTCAAACGCAACCAGAATTACAATTGTTCCTCCATCCTGGTCCTAAGGATCCTCTTTTCCTACATGCTTTAGATGCTTTTCTGTTCCAGGACGCCGGATTCATGCCATCAAGAATTGCAGGAACCTGTTAATCACCTTATCAGTTGTCAGGTGTTGCCGAATGGACCCTCAAACCACTATCAGTGGCATGAATGGTGCTCCATCCCTCCACCCTTACAACAAAAAATCAAATTATTTTCTCTGGGCAGTCAAGTTAAGCACTCTGACCATTCAAAAACTTCAAATATTATAAACAACATAATTTGCAGTCTTTTCTGTTCAACAACAGCAGCAAGAAAGAAGATGTGGGGTATCAACTCCCTATTGCCTCTACATGCAAAACAAGCAATTATAATCTGTGCTAATCATTCATTTTCAGCTGCTCCATTTTTATGCCTCCTTAGAAAATGCCTCATAGCACTGATACCAAAAGCTGCAACTGCAGACTACGGCTGCACAGAAATGCAACCCCCTTATGGAGAGCCCTCTGGATGACGTTGATCACAGAACAGGAGCAGTGTTAGATTTTCCTCTCAGCTCTTGGTTCTGAAGTTTATTTCACTATTGATCAAAAACAACGTTGTCAATGCAAAAACCCGTCAATGAGAAAGACCGTGTGAAACACAAAACATATAATCTGAAGTAAAGACGAGGCTCAGAAATGTCAGCACTTCTCACTTTCTCACAGATACATCCCTTAATAATTGATGTACCTTGGGAGGATTAGGGCTGCGGTATAACAAACTGCAGCTTCCCAGTGCTGTGAGAAATTTGTAAGGAAATAAAAAAATATATATATGATGCTCTTAGATTTGTCATACTTTCCGTGGGAATGTAAATATAACTATATAGCTCTATATTCTGCTTATATTTATATCTAATTTGTCTGCACCATCAACACCAAGTCAAATTCCTTGTAAGTGCAAACCTACTTGGCAATAAACCGGATTCTGATTCTGATAACAGACTAAAAGATTAATTAATCTAATTCCCCAAACTCAAAAAAAACATTCATTAAGGACTGCTAATATTTAACTGATTTGAGAGGTTGAAAAAAATAGCAGATTATATTATTCAGTTAGAATGCATTCAGGATAAATGTAAACTCGGCTTTGTTGGAGTTATTATGATTTCTGTTGTTTTTATCATTTTATTAATTTATATCTTTATATTGCTTTTAATCATTTGTTTTTTCTATGATACTGTCATCAGTGGAAACAGCGTATGCAGGTCATAAGACGGTCAAATATTTTGCGAGAATGCTTTCCTGTTTTTCATTTGAGAAACACAGAAGTTAAAGTTTATGACCCCCCCACACCTTTTTTAAAAGCGTATACTGAAACCAGACATGTTCCCTATCTTAAAAGTTCATGCAATGTCTAAGAGATTGCATAAACGAAACTAACACCTGCTGTTGTAATGTGTTGACTGCTCAATAAAAAGGCCTGCAAGCCTGGAGCAAGACGAAGATGCACAGAGAGATCCCAAAGCTCTGTGTATTTTCTCTTTGCAAAACACTGTCAGGAAAAATCTTACACTGTCTTTGTTTCATTCTTTATAGGCAGAGATGGGAAGTTATGAAGTACAAATACTTCGTTACTGTACTCAAGTAGATTTTTCTGATATTTTTACTTTATTACTTATTTTTATGGCGACTTTTTACTTCTACTCCTTACATTTTGACACAAATATCTGTACTTTCTGCTCCTCACATTTTAAAAAATTGTCTTGTTACTTTAGTTTTGAATCATTTCAATGGAGTTACCGTTATTATTTTTCACGTCATCAATACCAAATTCAATCTAATTGGATGGGAATCTACGTTGCATTTGACGCACCACTACAAGATGAATCGACAGATTCGGCGGTATTCATTCGCGGCAAATTATTGCAGCTTGGTGGCGGCGGCGTTAGCATAGTAGCATGGACGACGAGATGATTGAAAATGAACACAACGGAGATCTAGTCCTATTGGCAGACATCCATTTAAAATGTAGGCAACGGCATGAAAAAAGTGATTTCTACTTTTACTTTAATACTTTAAGTAAATTTACAAGCCTGTACTTTGTTACTTTTACTTGAGAAAAGAAGTTTAATCAGTACTTCCACTTTTACCAGAGTATTTTTTAACACAAGTATCTGTACTTTTACTCTAGTACGGAAAGTGAGTACTTTTGCCATCTCTGTTTATTGGTTAAAGTTGAGGAAACTTAACAACCCTAACAAGCTTCTTTTTAAAAATCCTCTGCTGGTATACTGCAGCAGTAATGGTGAGGTACATTCACATTAAAAGATGAGATTAGTTTTGCCTCTTTGGCTAAAACCAAAAGAAAAATTAAGCAGTTTTTTACATTTCTTGTTCTGCCACTTAAACAAGGGAAGGAAATGCTGTAGAAAATATAATCCACTATCAAATTTCAAGAGGAATGATTCAGGTCTTTAGCCATAAATTTGTATTTTTGTGTAAGTGCTGTTGTTGACTGCCTCTCCTGTTTTTCCACCCACTGCAAAAGGGTGGGAAGGAAAATCAGCGTGATAAATGCAGCACCACACAAGCAGAGGAGCAGCTCCAGGGAGCAGATTACTGCAGAAGACATTTTCAAAACACTCGAGATAATCCTCCTTCTCTGCCACTCGCTCTTTCAACCCAAATAAAAACCTTAAAATCTATTAGAACAACATATTCATGCAATTTACTACTGTGCAACTTATCTTTGTTTTTTCTTTTACTCCTCCTTATCCTGTTTACCTACTTATGATGTGTCTTCTCTCTGTCTCCCACTGTTAGGTGTCTGTCTTGTGCTGGGGTGTATGATCTATCCTGATGGCTGGGACAGCGATGAAGTCAGGAGGATGTGTGGGGAGCAGACAGACAAGTACAGCCTGGGAGCTTGTTCAGTGCGCTGGGCTTACATCTTGGCAATCATGGGCATCCTGGATGCCCTCATACTCTCCTTCCTGGCCTTTGTCCTGGGGAACCGACAGGATGGACTAATGACGGAGGAGCTGCTGGCTGAAAGCAAGGGTGAGGACGTGTATGACTGATCGCACAAAATAGAGCAGAGGGAAAAGTTTGGCCTCTTTGGAGGAGACAAAAAAATCACAGATGGGGAACTAATTTTCAACTGCCGTAAAGATTAAATGCCTTGAGCAATATTATGGCTACGCTTTTAGCCTTCATTTAAAGCACATCACAGCAATGAACTGAAGCAATCGCAGTAACAAATGTCCCAATTGGTACAGCAGTAAATTAGGCTTTTTTTTTCTTAGTGGTGCATTTAAAACTAACAACCACAGCACTTTATCAGACTGACTGAATTAAAAAAAAAATTGCGGTCAGAGTCGGTTTATCTGTAGTTCAGATTTAACAGTTTCACATGATGTGCCACAAGGCTCCAGTCAAGGTCAAGTTTTAATCTCCCTTCACACACTCCCATTGGTTAATACTACCAGGAAACATCAGAATAAAAATAAAAGTTTATCGATACCCTCAGCCAAAATCCTTAAACCATTTGATTGACTTACAGCCTTCTTTTCTTTTACTTTAAATTGTGGATGTTTAAAGTAAAAGTCCGATTAGCAAGGAATGATCAATGGATCATTATTTATACCTAAAACTAATAAGTTTGCGGCGATTTAATGGATTTAGCGTTTATCAGTAAAAAAATAAAAACAATAATTTTCATTACGATCTGGGAGCGGCCATTTTTGACCAAATATAGTAACCCCTCCCTCCTGCCATCTTCCAGCAGTGACGTCACGGTGCGGTAAGCCTAGCGCCATTCTCCCCGCTTTACAAGCTAAATCAATGGGAACTACTAGACACATCTGCAATCAACAACAATTATTGAAGATTTCCAGAGGACTTCAACATTGAAATTCACCAGAGCTATAGTGAAACTGACAATGCCCACGTGCGTGGCAGTTGAGTTATTTCGCCTTTCCAATTCCTGATCCTCCATGGACGGGTTGGTCGTTGGATCGCCAACTTGAAGAGGGAGGATTTGCCATCGAACTTCTGGCCAGAGAAAAAACCCGTAATATGTAGCCAACATTTGGAAGAAAAATGTTTTCAAGATGACTTGGATAATAGCGCGTTGTGACAAACACCAGATACAGCACTGGGACTTGATCAACAGCCGATACCGCACCGTGACGTCACAAACCAGTAGGTGGCAGTAGTGTTCTTTGACAAACATGGATGCCTCCAGTAAAGCACATCAAAGGAATATTACTCTTCATTAAAAAATGTATCATTTATTGAACAGTATGTAATAATTTCACATTTAAAGTACTTTCAGTAGTTTGAATTCTGAATATGAGCGGACTTTTCCTTTTATAACTGCAAAACAATCTTGTTCTATGTCCCAAAAAGCCGTACCTAACCACGTTCTGACATTTGACAGCGTCTCCAAAGTCTTCAGAATCACTTCTGGGACCATAGGTATTGATTAACAATTATTTCATATAATCTCCAAAATTGGTAAATTGAGGAAGAGATGCAAAGCTGGTGCATGCATTTATGAACTGTAGACTTCAGTTTTTAAAACGAGTTATAACAAGTTATCCATACCGCTCAACGAAAGTTGTTCAGTTGAGAGAGAATTTTGAAATTAAAATATAAAAATATCATATTTTTTACTATCTATTACTATAATCACTCTTGCTTTCAGGGAAAGAAGTCCATACACTCAACACTAAAGAATGCATAAAAGCCCTATATCGCAGCAACATAAGACTTTCTTAGTGCTTGCTACCCCACAGGAGTGTTCAACTCTTATTATACAGGTTTACTTTTAAAACCCTAAATATCCTAAGCAAAAAAAGGAAACAGATCTTTTTTTTCTTTGTCATGGCCCATTTCCTCTGAATCAGCTTTGTCCTTCAAGAACATTGAAAAGTTACAAACTATACGGCTGAAAAATTATTTGTTTTATTTCTTAAGTGCTTTTATCAATATTTTCAATAATATTCACCATTTAGATTTTCCTTTTATGTCAAAACATTAAACTAAACTCAAAGCAATATCCCGCTTTATTAGATAACATCTAAAGTATCTTTCAAAGGTAACAGTAGGCATGATTTTTTTGACCTAATAAAAAAAAAAGTCCTAATCATAAAGAGGGAACAGATATTACAATATTCGACAATTTTAGACAAAAAAGAATATCTAAAAGAACAATTTGTCATGTGAAATTAATGATGTCACAACTTTAAAGACAAAAGCAGAGCCTTGTTTTAAATGCTGCTGCAAATCCTGAATATAAACATGCAGGTTTATATAATACAACTTGTTCAAAAGGGGACATATAGATGGAAAACAAAGAATATAGTTCCTATCATACAGATTGATAGGTACTATATGATTAATCATCCATTAGATCCAGAGCCTTGCAAGCAACTCTGATGGTCCTTCTTTGCTTTTGTATGCTTTATAAAAACCTGACATTGTGCTTTAAGCTTATAATTACTTATACAACTTAAACATGTTGTGTGCGATATAGGGCTACAACAACGAATCGATAAAATCGATAAAAATCGACTTTTAAAAGCGTTGACAACGAATTTCATCATCGATTAGTTGTGTCGCGCGATTAATGCGTCATCCGCCGCCGCCGTCATCACATCCACTTGACTGAAACGGGGGAAGAAAAAAAATACGGCAGAGCGAGCCAGCGCTGCAGGTGCAGTGTTGCCAACTCAGTGACTTTTCAGACCCCTCCAGCAACTATTTTTCAAAAAAGCAACTAGCGACAAATCTGGTGACTTTTTACGGTGTCACTGGCGGCTTTTGGAGACTCTTACGTGAAAGCATGTATCATTCCTACTCTGCCGTGGGGCGCCTCACAGGGCTATTTTTATCTCTATGGTTCAGTATTTTCTCAAGTAGCAACTTTAACTGCTATACTTTCCTGTCTTAAAAGGCAGAATTCTTCTAGTCTAAAAAAAACTCATTTGTTGAAATGGGGGGGTCTATTGTTTGAGCCCCTTAGGGGCTTTTGAAAACAAAAATGCCTGTCTTTTTTTGCGCTTTATGAAACAAAGTACCCTATATTTTTGTGGATGTAAGTTTTTTAACACAAACATTTATTTTTCATATTGCACCAGTACAGTTAATGAGCAACCTGTACTTGTGTGCTTGTTTGTTCTGTCTAAAATGTTTATTTTGGAATAAAGTGGTTAATATAAAAAATATTTTTTGCCCGATTCATCGATTAATCGGAAAAAAAAATCGTCCGATTCATAGATTTTTAAAATAATCGTTAGTTGCAGCCCTAGTGCGATACATGTGCACTTGCACCTTAATCCTAGTTATCTTGATATACTGTATATACCTGGATATACTGTATATATATTGCTTTTTCTTAATGCACCTTTTTCCTCACTGTTTGCACCTTCTGTAACTTCTATGCCAATATGTGACGAGTGAATTTCTCCGCTGTGAGATCAATAAAGCTCATCTAATCTAATCTAATCTAATCTAATCTATAACAAATAAAAGAAACTATATACAGCCTGTATCACTATTCTAAAATATGTTCTTATTTCACTTGCAATCAAACACTAAAACTAAAAATATAAGCACTGCTATGGTATTCCTTACAAGTTAAATGCATTAAACTGAATAAGTGGTCAAAACTGGTTCTTGAATTACAAAAAATAACAGTGGTAGAAGTTATAAGGAGTTGTAACTTTAAACCATTAATGTTAAATCAATGCATTTTTCATCATCTGTGTGGATAACATTAACCCCTGTGAAGTCCACTCTTAATCCAATTAGGTGCATAAAGACTGAAAACCACATTTAGTTATAGGAGTTGACAACATTTCAGATGCTTTCTAGAGTAGTCTTTTAAATTTATTAGAAGTCATGTGGCTTTCACCAGACTGAGGTTAGAAAGCGTACAGTAATTAAGTAAGTAATAAAACATGAAGCGGTCTAGAGCATAGTTTAACTATAAAACATATAGTGCTCTCGTTTTTAAGGACTGTGTAACGAGCCATCCAGTTTCTAAAATGGTTTAGGTTAATGATAGAGGCCCAAAAACATCATTCAAATGTTATTAAGGGATACACACACAAGTAAACAGTCAAAGAGTAAAATAAATTTATACACATAAACATCTTAAATTTGATCCATTAGACCAAGCACTCTTGGAACAAACTCCCTCCTGCACTTACAAGAATAAAAGGCTGTATGTGCTCTACTGAACCTAAAGAGCATTTTGAGAATCTACGTCTTTAACCAGTGGCGGCCGGCCCATAGGGGGCGCTGGGGCACCGCCCTCCCTGATAAGAAGAGAGAAACGTAAAATATATTTTTACAAATTAACTCATAAATGTCAGTTTTACTCTCTAGAGTGTGTACCTATAAGCAAAACAAATTATATAAACTACATTTTCCAACCTACTGTCATTCATTTGTAGATTTCCACAGACAGACTCCTAGCATCTCTGTCTTGGGGCGCTGATCAGACTGCCCCAATAAAGGACTTGCTATCTTATTACCATGTTATTACATGGTTGTTGATGTATTGTAAAATAAAGGGTAACCTAAAATTTTTGCTCTTGAATGAACTATTGATAGAAATTTCCCTTTATAGTGTTTATTTAATTTCTACTCTTAGACTGTCTGATGGATTTTTCTAAATACATTTCAGGATATATTATAATCTATGTTCTAGGTGGGGTTTTTTTATAAATATGTGCAAATCCACTCTAAGAATTTAATTATTAAGTAAGAGACTGCACCTCTATTCGAACACCTCCTTAGTAGTTCCTTAATGAGCTGTTAATTAAAAAAAACGTCTAATCCTCGGTGATACCTTTGTTGAACTACTAGTGAACACTTCATTTTAATTGGGGGACAATATATAATTAGGGGCAATAATCTGTTATAATATTTTTTTTCTGTATTTTTCTTAATTTTTTTTTTCTTTTACAGAAGGAGGGAACGCTTAACTGATGTTTAGGTAAGTTTATGGTTAACGAGGGTTATTTAAATCCATGTATTTTCTCACCATATGCTCTGAATCTACAAGATTATTTATTTAGGGATTGCACATTAATTGGCAGGTTTAGGCATATAAAGAACTTGGTATGGAGAAGAGATTTTTCAATTTAATGAAACTATGAATAACAGTTTCTTGATTGGGTCTCATATGCAACTGCTACTGTTTCATGATGCTAAGGTTTTTTTTTTCCTCTTTCCTCCATATAGCATTATTGCAGGACCCATCTTGGTACAGAGCATCTTCATCCATGTTTGCTTTGTCACTTTATAGGGTCTATATCATGCAAAAATCAACTTTTTTCATGTTATAATGCTATTCCTTAATCAAACTCATGGCCAAAGTGTTATTGCGCTTGATTCATGTAGTACAGAGTAATCATTAATTCTCTGTCCTGGAAAACGAGTGGCCATTTTATGTAGGACAGTGATTACCCGTCCGATAAGCAATGTATGTAACGACCGCAGAAGCTTGGACCCAACATTCAGCAGACAAAACAGAACGGTTTGAATCAAGTTTTTTATTTAATAAAACAGACATAGAGCAAGAGAACGTCTTCAGTGCGGGCTATCGGATTCTCTGCAGAGACAGTAAACTCAGGTCAGTGACAAGAATGTCGAGCTGATAACGACTAGGAGAAAAAGTCACTGACCTGGTTGAGAGTTCAGTCTGATTCAGAGAGAGAGGAACGCGGGGGGAGATTGTCCGCCGCTTGCGGTCATTACTGCTTAAGAGCACAGGGCGCATGGGAGCTGGAGCCAGCCGATGCCGAGCAAGCAACAGTTTCCGTCAGGGATAAACCAAAGCCTAAGAACATTCCAAACATTTTCACAGACCAGAAGATCAGAGGTATCCAAGGAGAATCCAAGCGGAGGCCAGTAACACAGTCCATGTCCGGTAACCCAGCAGAATCCAGGAAGTCAGACCTGAACAGAGCAGATAGCGAAAAGGCAAACCCGAAAATCCAGAAACTTACTTGATGGCTGAAATGAATCTCACCGAAACAGCTAGAATAGTCTGGCGCTGATGGCAGGCAAGCAAAGAGCAAAAATAGCCAATTAGACAGGTGAGCAGGGGCAGGTGAAAAAAGCCAAACATCAGCGCCAGGACTATGACAACGTACCCACCGAAGGATGTTGTGAGGCACAGCGTGATCACTTCAGCCTAAAGTTGAGATTAAGTTTCTCTTTTAGCAGTTAATCTGCAAAGTGACAGCAGCCGTCCTTTCAGCTGACGTTTAAGCTGTAAATCTGTGGTTTTTGGTTGTGAAAGGTCTTGCGAGAGAGCCAGGAGTGCCATAATAGCATGCTACAGCAACTTTAGAGCTACAAAATAAAACAGGGAGAAGTGGCGTTGCAGTTAAGCAATTAACTTTGGGAAAACTGCACCAGAAAGTAACTAACATTTATGATGAATTAAAAGCCTACTCCTTATTGCCATAGGCAGTATTTGATCTATGTATTTTATATATATCTATAGTTGACTATGCCTATAGTTATAGCGTGATATAGAACCTTTAAATGAAACTTGTGGCTTTTCATTGAACAATAGATTAATTCTTGACCTTTTCTAAAAAAGGCCAGATTGGTTAATGGCACCTTAAATGAAATAGTAGTCCTTACCACAACCATGTTCAGTGAGTTAGAGTTTTTTTTTCTTTTTCTAAACTATTCTTGCTTTAAAATTCGCCAAAGCTTTATCTGAGACCTGTCTGTCACTTTGTCTTCATGCCAATTTTATTAATGTCTTTTAACTAACCTCTGATGCTTTGAGAGAGTACCTGTATTTATGCTCAGATTACCCAACAAAAAGTAATGCTGTATTTCCCAATTTCCATTTATTATTTCAGATCTTTAGTACACAGGTTGCAAAATCAGTCAAACACTTCCTGCTCCCTCTCATGTCCTGCAGGTTCCCTGTTCCGAGTGTCATTTCCTATGAAGCACCAGTCATTCGGTAATGTATTCAAAGAGAGCGGACCGATTCAAGGATCAAGTGGAACTCTATGGAAGCATTCGGCCTTCCTTTTCACCAATGTAACCTACCTTTGAAGTTCATCCATTCTGTCCAAAGCCCTCAATCGTTGATTCCAGCACTTAGATGGATCCCAGGACACCGTTTCCGACTTAGATCTAAGGAGCCAACCCTTGTACAGCAATGCACAGACCATGGCGAGGGCAGTGACTGTTACTCTGGGAAGAAGACGGTATACGTACGGAGTATCTATTTATCTAACGGCCTGAGAACCATTGACATTTACACTTTCAGCGCAACCACAAATCATCCAACAACATACAGAAACCTACACAAGCAGTACATTCAGAAAAAAGACTTAAATATTATTGTGTAATTACAAGTATTAACCTATGTTAACACCAAAATGTGTGTGTCACCGTCAGAATGGGTATCATGTTTTATTTGTTAAAAGTAGAAAAAAGAAATATATCAGCTTAATCTGTAGTGTTAAGATTAAACAATGTTAAGGTTTATTTTTCATCTCTGGCTCATAGGATACTTTCTTTCCCTGAAAATAATATTTAAAACCATTTTCCATTAATATTATACTACAGAGACAACTAGAATAACAAAGTGTGTATAGAGAATATTTCAAAGTGATCTATGAGGATTTTAACGAAACCCATTCAACATCCTATTTACTACCCAACTTTGCACAGTGCTCAAGTTTTAAAAAAAGAATTCATATTTTGTAGCTGATGTATCTACACTGTGATGGTGGCTATCAGAACTGCCAGCTGCAAGACTCTTAGCCGCTACACGAGTCTGACTCTGTATGTTAGTGTGTTTTGGTATTAGCATGCACACACACATCATTGCTGTAATGCTACGTTCAGACCGCAGGCAGCAGGAGCAGCAAAAAGGCGCGTGCTGCTTCATTTTTGATGCTTGTACAAGTTTAGTTCTGACGCGCTTCTGAAGCATCTTTGCTGCTTTAGCTGCACGGTTGAAAAGTGGATCTGATTTGCGTTTGGCAGAGCTACCCTATCCTCTCTTTGCCTGTAACAATGGCAGCTATATATGCTGTGATCAGTAGGTAAAAAGTAGTTTTAATGTTTTTAAGTGAGAAAGTCCACATGAAAACTTCATCCGTGCAGTCAGTTCATCCAGATTACCATCCTGCCTTCAAATATTATTTCTCTGTTGGAGCCGCTCAGACCCCCTTACAATGGCAGTGCGCTGTCACTGGGAATCCCGTTCAACAGCAGCCTCTGGCCCTGTTGCCCCTTAGCGGCTGGAAGTAGATGTTAGCATTTTTCACTTACATAATCCAAAGTGCAGGCACCAGTATAATAAAAGTGAACATATTTTGCAGTTTTGACATTTTAAGTTAATTTAGATGTAGATAAACTGTTTCAGAGGAGTGATCATAGCGCTCTGCATCAGCAGTGCTGTGTCTGACTCCCTGCCAGCTCCCAGATCAGCTTCTCTGATTGGTTGATGTGGCGAGTCCAGTAGCAAAAGTTTAATTTTTAGAACTCCAGCAGCTGCTGCTTCTAAAGCGCGTCGAGCGCATCAGAAGCTCATGAGGCCAATTTATGCTTTTGACGCATAGCCTCTGCAACCGTCAAATCTGTCTTTGTGTGCGACCATGACCCCATGCAGAGGTTCTGCAACCGTCCTCACGCACCTCAAAAAAAATCCTGATTATGCGTTGGACGGTCACAAACCTACACAGACCTCAAGCGGAAGTGCGCAGACAAAAAGCAGCTGTGATTGGTCCTTGGTACGCCTTTCCGGCTGTCGGTGTGGTCGTCCTTCTCAATTCGGTGCCGGGGCGCTCCATTTTTAAAAACCGAGGAACAACTACAATGGACAACCTATGAGTCCTTCTTTGTCTTTTTGCCAACTCAATTAACAGAACCTGTTCCTCTTCGATGTCTAGCAACTTTAGTTCCATCTCCGTGACCGTGATATCTTGCATATGTGCCATTGTTGTTTTGGAAGATAAACAATCCCCCAGGCGCCGCCGAAGTCCTCATGACCATCCGTCAAAGTTCTCGCGAGTTCTCCAATAGGCCCCCTCTTGCACTTTGGCTGGAAACTGCTGTGCGTCCCTAGAAATTCCAGACGGACATTGCAGAAACATACCAGCAAAACTGGTTCGCGACCAGACCCAAGCGACCTTTGATGTGTGCGGTTGAAGAAGTCCAATCTGCCCTTTAGATGCGCCTTGATGCGCGTCAACCATTGACTTTGCATCTAAACTAGCTGCGTCTGCTGACTTTGCTGCTTGTGGTCTGGACGTAGCATTAGTGTTGTGAGTGTAATAGTTTACCAACTTCACACACAGCTGTCCTCTTGTGTATCTTATATCTGTCTTTGTCTTTAGGTGGGTCTTTCTTTGATGGCCTTGCTCTCTTTGTTTCTTTGGGACGTACAGGGTACCGCAATGGAGCAACAGGCGTGTCTAACATCCAATTCCAAGTTGAGATGAACATTTAAAGCCTGTCCCATTCTCAATCCTGCATATGTTACTGTGTAAATAGATATTCTGCAGATAATAAGTCACTAATTTAGAGCAACTGAAGAGATTCCTTTAAGAATATAAAAACTTAATAAAGGTTTTCACTGTAAGTGTTGTTTTTTTTATGCTTTTGTCGTCTACGAAAGAGATAATTTACTGGCTTTGGTAATTATGACATTGTAGTGTCATAAACATGTGTGGTAACCAATGCTAAAAGGTATGGGAGGAGAACTTTCTCAAATATTTCAAAAGACCCGCCCTTTCCGTTACTTACTAATATATTACTTGCAATTTTTACATGCGGTACGTTTAATACTTATGATAATGTTTATGTTATTATGTTATTGCTACAAAATGACCAAAGAACCCTTTCGTTAGGAAAATGTAAATGTCTGTAACGTACAGGAAATTGGACCCAGAAAACAACTCAGACAGGTCAGTGGAATGCAACAGATTTTATTTATGTGTGGCACAGGGAGCGCGCAGGCGGCTCTTAGTCAGGAAATCCCCTGTGGCAGAGACAACAGGTTAGTGATCAGCAATAGGAGAACTAGAGAGGGAGTGAGGCTGGATCACTAACCTGTTACTGGGTCTCAGAGTGGGCGATTGGCTCCGTGTAGGTCCGGGGCAGGAGTCCGTAAGAGGAAGGGGCTTGTGGAAGCAGTGGCCATTGAGCGGCGGATGGTTAGCTGAGGACTGAGGCCGATGAGCTCCAGAGACAGTCCGTCCAGTGATCGGGTCCAAGCAAAGGTACAGAGGGGCAATCCAGAAGAGAGGTCCAGGTCCGATCCAGGGTCCGTTAACTGGCAGGTTCAGAGAAGCAGAGGAGTTAGGCAGACTCGGTTACTCACTGACTGAGTGGGGTTCAGGCTCACAGGCAGGCAATCCAAGGCAGAACTGATGCAGGGGTCCAGAGGCAGATCTGGTTTGGATTCAGGGCAGGCAGACAGGATCAGATAAGGGATCAGGCAGGCTCGGTGAAAAAAGGCAAAAACAGGTCAGGTAACAGGTTGGCAGGCAAAATATAAAAATGCTGGATGGTACTCAATAGTTGGTTTGAGACAATCTGGCACTGGGAACTGTTGGGATCCTCAGGCTTGCCCACCAGAGGGCGCCGAGGATCCTCTTCTGCTGTCTTTGTCTTTCCCTTAGGGCTGGAGTCACTGTCGAGGTTCTGGAGATTACCCTCTGCCTCCAGCAGAGTGCGCCATGGGTCCTCCTGAGCTGAACCTCCCACACACCTGTGGCTGATCTACTAATCAGGAGGACCACAGTATATAAGCTGACTTCAGACCTTGATTCCACGCCGCAGTGTTGATCTTAGTTGGTTAGCTTCCTGAGCCTCTGTTACAGAAGATTCTTTATTATCTCTAGCGTGAGATCAGAATCTAACTCTTCCTTGTCTCTGCCTCACAGGAATCCTGTCTCTCCGAGAAGGCTCTGGACGAGCTTAACCTCCTGTCTCTTCGTGGAAGCTCTGGATGAACTTAACCTCCTGTCTCCTCGTGAAAGCTCTGGATGAGCTTAACCTCCTGTCTCTTCGTGGAAGCTCTGGATGAGCTTAACCTCCTGTCCCTTCGTGAAGCTCTGGAAGAGCTGTCTCTCTGGCAACCTGTCTCTGGTCTGCAGCTCTGGGAGAGCTGCATCTCAGGAAACCAGTCTCAAGCCTGAAGCTCTTGGAAAACCAACCTGCTAAGCTGCCCTGGTGAGCCAACCCAAAGATTCCTACGTGGTTGAAACCTGACGACCCCTATGTGGAGTTTCCCTAGAGGTTCCCATGTGGATTTCCCGTGTCTTCCCAGTAGTTCTCTGAGTTAAGCTGGAAGCTCAGATCCAAGTTAGCTTTGCTAAGCTTACAGCTAGAGGCTTAGCCCCTCATGAACTCTGTTAACCTTCCATCTCCCTTTCCCTGCTCAGACCCCAGTGAACCAGCCCCCCGGACTGAATCAGTTCCAGAATTCATGTGTTTGTATTCAAAATAAACTCTTTGGACTTTTACCAGTGCCTCCGTGTGTGTTCTGCATCTTGGGCTTACTCTCTGTGACACCCATCATGACAGAACACTGCGGCCAAACACAAAGCCCAGCAGATCACCTCCGTCGGTGGATTGAGGAACGGGATGCTTAGCCCCAAGGACAGACACTAACCCTCCGTGAGTTTAACTCCAGTTTTTGATTGTTTAAACTACGTTTTCTGGGTTCTACGGACTTTGAGGGAATCATAAGATGGCGCCTGCTCAATTTCCGGTTCCGGAGCCAAACCCGCCCCCTAGGTCAGAACCAGTCCCGTCATTTCCGGTTTTCCGCCCGTCACTTCCTGAAAGGTTTTCTGGTATTCCTAGTAGATTAAACGGTTTTCTTTTTCAGTGCAAAATATTTCTTAAACTCTCCTCCTCTAGTTTTTCTAATGACAGGGAAAAAATAGACTTTATTATTTCACGATTATCCGGAAAAGCCCGCAAATGGGCAAAGACCTGTTTTTCTCCTGAATCCAATATTTCTTCTACCTTTGAACGTTTTTTAAAGGAATTCTCTCTAGCCTTTTCTGATTCAACCAAATCTCAGGGTCTTGCTAACTTAAAACAGGGGGATAGAACTGTCAAAGATTTTTTAATTGATTTCCGGGTCTCTTCCGGTTGGACAAATGCCATGCTTAAAAGTATTTTCGTCAATGCCTTAAATGTTGAGATTAAGGATGAGCTGGCAAAGGTCGATGAACCTGCAACATTGGAGGAACTCTTCAGTTTAGCAAGCTATCTGGATTACAGATTTCGAGCCAGAGTCAGGTGCACATCTAGGAACCCAGTCCAGTCCAGCTTAGCTCAGTCCGGTCCTTTCCGTTCCAGTCCAGTCCAGCCCAGTTCTGTTCAGTCCAGTCCGGTCCAGTCCAGCCCCATACAGTCCTGTACAGCCCTGTTCAGCAAACTCCCGTACTGTTCTATCCAGTTCAGCCATCACCTACATGACCATCAGTTTGTGCCGTCCACTAAGAAACTCAAAATTATACCACAGCCCCATACCCGAACAGTCAGAGCACCTGAACTCCAAGAATCAGATCTCTGGAATTTTTTCTATGGGGACAGAGATGATCTCTTCCCTTTCTTGCCACCTCATTCTTCTCACAACCAACCAGCTAGTTTAGTGTCTGAATCCACTAGCACACCTGCTTACCTTTTGTCTCAGTCAGTCTCCGAATCTAATGGTCCTGTTTCCATTACTTCTCGACGTAAGAAACGGCGTCGCTTTAAGCCAGCTCCGAGCCATCTAGAAACCCCCGAGTCAGTTCTTAGCCGTCCAGAGACCCCTGAGCTAGCTTTGTGTCGTCCAGAGACCCCAGAGTTAGCCCCGTGCCGTCCAGAGACCCCAGAGTTAGCCCTGTGCCGTCTTGAGACCCCTGAGCTAAAAGTTAGAAGAGTTTCAGAATCTAGTGTTGGTGAAAATGTGCCTCTAAGAGTTCCTCAGCTGAGGCCACTAATCACCAAGAACCCTCCACCGACGCCTCAAACCACCGCTGATACTGAACTTGAGCCTCCATGGGTGGTCCCTCCGTTTCCAGAGGTGGAACCACAGTCGGTGGTCCCACCTG